AAATTTTGCATAATATATACCCTTGTAACGCTGTTGTGTCGAAATTTTGTGATGTAGCTGATATATGCACCTTCTGTAAAAAAGAAAGTGAAGATATTTGTCATTTATTTTTCTCTTGTAATGTTTCATCACTTTTCTGGAAAGATTTGAGTTCCTATTGTTTTTCTAAAGTTAATATGAACTGTAATTTACACATTAAGGATGTTGTTTGCTTTTTTGAAAACCAAAACAAATCTTTAGAATCTGCTGTTAACTTACTTATCCTTGTGGCAAAATTCTATTTTAACAAACAAAGGTTTCTTAAGAAAATACCTACTTTTATAGATTTCTTATGCGAAGTAGAACATTTAATTAAATCACTAAGAGTAATTAATAACAAAAAAATTATTTATTTTTTGAAGAGATATGATGAGATCTTTCATGTACCGTGATTAATACTTGTTTTGGTGTTTTTTTTAAAATCCTCTTTTCTTATTTGTTCTGTTCCTGCCTTTCTTTATGTTCATAAAAAAAGCTATTTAAATGCATCTTTCTCTTTTAACAGTCATTGTCAACTTTTTTTTTCTTATTCTCTTCTCTTCCATATGTTCAGATGACATTTGATGTATTGTTGATACATTATGTGTAATGTATGCAAAGCTGTATTTCATTAGTCATCTCTGAATTGTTTGCAATAAAAAAATAAAAAATGCCTGTACTAAATAAATGAAAGTTGCTGCACAGAAGTGCAAAAAAAAAAAAAATTCCAGACAGAGATAAGTAAATTCTAAAATAAGCTCTCGTTTCTGTACACAATATACACAGGTAGAGGTATATAAGATACAGACAGATAGATATCGACAGACAGATAGATCTATCTATCTGTATAATCTATTTATCTGTTGTTCTAACTAGATAGACAGAACAACAGATAGATAATCTGTCTGTATCTATCATTCTGTCTGTATCTATAGTTCTATCTATCTGTATCGATCTATCATTCTGTCTGTATCATCTATCTATACACACATTATATAATCATTATTACACGGTTAAGTTGTGGATGTAAAGATAGACAGCGTCCAATATTTACATGTACTGCCATTATAACAACCTAAAACCCCGTTACTTTGGTTCACAGATCACCAACTCCTAAAATAGCAGAGGCACAGATTCATTTCAGGGTGTCCTATTTGCTCCAGCTAACCTAAATATGGGGCAGATGTTTAAAGATGAGTGATTCTGCTCTGTATAATTTTCCCTTACCTGGTATATAATACAATGCCATTTAATTGGATTTTCCTTTACTGACCTCCGAATGGAAAAAAAAAAATGACCCCAAGGAGTTTAGCTTCCAGTCTTAAAATTAAGTTTTATTTTACATTTTGGGTTTTACAACTATTAAGATAAAGGGAACATACTTCAGGGTTTGTTCATATACAGCAGGCCTGATATTTCCATGTAAACACTCTGATTTCCATTCTGCACCGATCAACAGCATTAATACACTGAATACTGTCAAGGACATAATTTCAACTTTCGAAAATTCATATAAAAATATCTAGAGCATTCTTTACCTCATAGGAACCATTCTGTATTAAAAAGCTGCAAATAAAATGACACGCATCAAAAGATGCTGAAAATCATAAAACATGCACATCTGCACAAACATTTACTTATGACTTAAAACATGTACGTGTCTCTCTACAAAACTATTAAAAGAGACCGATTCAAAAGTCTCCCTTTCCTCAAAGACTAAGATATTGCATACAATTAATGCCACGATTAGTTGTACCCATTAAGAGATTTAATGTAGGGAATAATGGAGCTATTTGGGAACCCTGCTTCAAGTCAATTGCACTTGTGGACGAATGTCAGGCGTCAGACTTTGAGAGTGTTTGCTGAAGGAAACGTCCCGTTGCACCAGGCCTGAGTTCAGAAGGGAGAGATCAGTGCGTGAGGAGTCGAATTGGTTAATTATGATTCTGCAAACTTATTAAACAGGATTCTGAGGGTTGCATGCAAGTCAGTTTGATTGCATGTTGATAACCCAGTGATATTTTTGATTAAAGCTAAAACGGACAAGGTGCAAAAAAAAAACAAAACAAAAAAAAACGAATACAGTAATACAACTAAAAATCCCTTCCACCGGCCTACAGTGTATCAATTAACATAATAGAATAAACCAAAGTTTTTTTTGTACTACAGTGGTTAATATTAAGACTATGAGTTTCAGGAGAGACGTTGTGCTTGGCCTGTATCCCACCTGACTCCTGCAGCTAGGAATGGGGACGAAGCAGTTTGAAATCCCTAATTGGGTTTCTCCTGGAATATGTAAAGGTTATTGACTGTCGCCAGTGCAACGATGTTATCCTGCGGATGCCAGGAGGTGTAGAGGATCTTTCTGCTGAAGTCCAGGCAGTCGACGCCGATCTCGCTCCTCTTGCGCCGGCTCCCCGTGCACACACGCCAGGTCTTGAGCGGGCAGCCGGGGGAGCCGTTCTCCCACGAGGCTTCCAGGGTCACGTCACGCTGGGCGTCACGATTGAATATTCGGAAGAAGTTGTTATAGGAGCCCGTCATGACCTCACTGTGAACGGAGAGATGAAAAATGATGAGATAATGAGGCTTAATACTTTCTTCCTTTAGAAGGGAAAAAACAGCCTCTCTATGGTAATGAAAAAAAGCTGTTTTACTAACTGTTATTACCAAAATTTTTAAATGTAGAGCTGAGATATAAATATAATATTTTATTATATGTATAAAATATATATAATAAATGAAATGAACCATTGAACCAACGAAATAAAACCATTAAACAATTTATTCCTTAAAATGAAAAACTATCTAAACTAAAATAAAATATAGAAAATAGTTATTTCAGCATTTCCCTTTTTCATTTAGTTTAACTTGATTTTTTAGAATAACGGAAACCGATATAAAAATTTATAAAAACTATATAGATATATTTAAAAGACAAAATTAATAAAAGCGACAACGCATAACAGAATTACTAATACTTTAAGATTAAATTGAAAACAGAAAATATAAAAATAACATTCAAAATATTAAATACACTGATTGAAATATATAGTTTATGTATTTGCTTTGACTTTTTCAGGAAAAACAAACTATAATTTCAGCCAAAAAGCCACTGCTGCATTACTGTAAAAAAAATAAAAATAAAAAGTAGCCATATTTTCTACACTGCTTTCACTAAATAAACAGAGGTAAATATAAATATATTTATAACTATATTTAAAAATAGTTTTGCTTTCAAACATATTTAGTGAATTCTGAATAGATGTTGTGCAAAATAAAGTTTCATTTTGTTTCAGTTTTGTTGAATTTTATTATACAACCATTTAAACGTTCGAGGCGTGTAAGATTTTTTAAAAATGTTTTTGAGAAGTCTCTTCTGCTCCTCAAAGCTGCATTTATTTGATCAAAAATTCTGTAAATACAGTAATATTGTGAAAAATTATTACAATTTCGATTAACTGTTCTATATTTAGATGCATTTTAAAATGTAATTTATTTCTGTGATGCGCAGCTGAATTTTCAGCATCATTACTCCAGTCTTCAGTGTCACATGATCCTTCAGAAATCATTCTAATATGCTGATTTGCTGCTCAAGAAACATTTCTGATTATCATCAATGTTGAAAACAGTTGTGCTGCTTCATATTTTTTATAGAAACCACGGTTTTCAGGATTCTAGGACATTCAAAAGAACAGCATTTATTGTAAATAGAAATATTGACATTATAAATGTTTTTACGGTAACTTTTGATCAATTAAATGCTTTGCTTAAGTATTAATTTCTTTCAGAAAACAACACCATAACCCTGAATGTATCATAAATATTCTTGTACTTTTGCTGAAAAGGAGGAAGTTCCTGAAACGGTGTGGTGTGTCAGTAAACACAAGTGCTCTGTTAGTCACACATAAAAGCTTCAGTCAGAGAGACTCTCTCCGGACGCACACACAGCTCATGCCAGTTGAAGGTTTGCTTTGTACTTGCTTTTATCATGAACTGAAACGCGCTCAAAGAGGCTTTCGTCATTAGCAGGATGTGCGGGAGCCCGTTAGCTGAACAGAAACGTCATGATGGCTTCTCACGCTACTACTGAACGTGAGTCACGTCTCCTCACCTGTCGTCACCCCTCCAGCAGCACTCAAACTTATCAAAGATGCAGTCGTTCTCGTAGAGAGAGCACAGCTTACTCCTGAGATAACCATGAACCTGATAAGAGAGAGAGAGAGAGAGAGAGAGAGAGAGAGAGATCAAAGTCACAAAACACTAATGTCACACAGCAGGGAAAGCTAGTTTATGAATATCTCAGTTTCTTAATGTTTACAGCTTCACAGTGTTTAATCGGAGCATTCTGGGTAATCAGAGCCATAAAACTAATGTCATCATAAGTAGATCAAGAAACATTAAATGTAATTACTTAAATAATAAAAAATTGCTTAATAGTTTCTGTGAAAAAAACCTCGACTTTTTCTTCAGAGCCAAAAAAGTAAAATATTGTAAATATAAGTATATTTTAAATACATTTAAATATATATATATATATATATATATTTAAAATATAAATATATTTTTACAGTAAAACACAGTAGAAAAAAGTAGCCATGCTTTCTACACTATTTTTTCACTAAATAAACAAGCAAAAATATTTAAACAATTTTCATTTTCAAATGTACAGTATTTAGAGAATTGAGAAAGTTTAATTTTATTCATTCCATCTCAGAAATTATTACTGACATTGAATTGTATTACACTACCATTCATACATTTTTAGGTAAAGTTAGCTGTACATATTTGTGTTTAATATTGCCTATAATTATCACTAATCATAATTTCTTACTAATACAGGATAGTTTAAATTTCAACAGAAAATAAGCCAAGGACAAAAAAACATATGTAAACAGCGAAGTCAGTCATGTATTAATTTCGGCATGTAATTATTTCGGAATCCAAAGTGCCGTAATTAAGTTTATAATTAATTATAATCATGGTAATTGCAATATGTCATTAATCCAGTGCATCATATCCAACTTTTCATAATCCAATAAAATCCTGATGGCTTTTCCGACTGAAATATGGAAAAACAATATTATCATGCAATGCAAAATACCTATATAGAGATAATCAAGAAATAAATTCCTGACACCACCTAGTGGTCAATGTTGCTAAATTATTATTCCGTTTATAGCAGGGGTCTCCAAACTCAGTCCTGGAGGGCGGCTGTCCTGCAGAGTTCAGCTCCAACCCTAATCAAACACACCTGAACCAGCTAATCAAGATCTTACTAGTCATGCTAGAAACTTCCAGCTAAACTCTGCAGGACACCGGCCCTCCAGGACAGAGTTTGGAGACCCCTGGTTTACAGGATTGGTTCACACAAAATGAAAATGATAATTTTCTAATCCTCCTGTTGTTCCAAACCTCTTTGACTTTCTTTCTTCGAAGGGAAAAGAGAAACTTTAAAGAATCTCCTGGATGTTTCTTTTACATAAATACAGAGTTCTGGCATGAAACTCTCGTTGGCGCAGTCCGATAGGTCTAGCTCATTCTGACCTGGCGACATCATTGTCACATGGCAGCTGATTGGTTCTCTCCTGTATCGGTAGCCAATGAGCTCGCTGCTCAATATTCAAATACCTGGCTTTTGTTTGCTGTAGCAGTTGGCAGCGCACTTCAGAAACCCTCCACCTTCCCCAGCTCCACATGTATAGATCTGCTACGGGGTGATTCATGTATGCTATATGGGAGTTATTCATATGTGTTCATCACAGGAATAAATTACATTTTAAAATATAATCAAATAGAAAACGAAAAAGTTATTTTAAATCGTAATATTATTTCACAACATCACAGAATTTTTACTAAAATACATGCAGCCTTGGTGAGCAAAATCCTTCAGAACTTTTTGAACAGTAGTGTATGAATAAACAGGATACTGAAGCTACGGTCGGTGAAGTCCAGGTGCCACAGATTGATCCGGAGGTCATCAGCGGACAGATACGTCTCATTGTCGCTGTTGACTGAGATGGAGTTGATGTGGTAGGTGTGAGCGTTGGCGTAAACCCGCCGCGGACTCGCCTCCACCATCAGATCCATCGGCTGGAACACTGGAACCTGCGCGGAGCAAAGCCTGTTACTCGTATGGACTTATTAATGCATTAACATAATTCATAATGTGTGCGTGTGGTGTGAGTGTGTTCACACCCGTAGTGTTGTGAGGGATGATGGATGCCTGTAGCGGCCATCCTCTTCTTTGAGGTTATAACCCTCTGGTCGCTTGTCTCGTTCACTGATTTTCCAGAGCTTGATGGTTTTATCTGCATGCAAGAAAACAACGGTACATTGAATAATCAACATATTTGATAACAGAGCAACCTACACATATAAATGTGTGAATGTGACTGTACCAGTGTTGCTATTATTAACTGAACTACTAAAAATCATTTTCATGCAATATTATATGAACAACTTAAAAATTTGAAATGTTGCCTTGGGAAAGAAATTTAAATATGTTTAAACTTAAAGGGGTCATATGATGCGATTTCATTTTTTCCTTTCTCTTTGGAGTGTTACAAGCTCTTGGTGCATAAAGAAGATCTGTAAATTTGCAAAGACTAAAGTCTCAAATCCAAAGAGATATTCTTTATAAAAGTTAAGAGTCAGCCACACCTACCTAAAACGGCTCGTTCTAACACGCCCCCACATATCTACCTCACTATGCGGGAAGATTTGCATAACGCCGCCCAAATGTTCAAGCAAAGAAAGGCGTAACTTTTATTCTCGCTGTAAGTATTGTTGCAGCCGCCATGTCGTGAAGACGCTGTGTGCTTCGTTGTGAAAGCGAAACTACTTTCAAAAGAGGACGATATCCGCTTCGTCACGCCTAGAGCTGATCTGTGCTGGTCGCTGAGGAAATACATCAACTTAGTGCTGTGGATCACCGGATCGGCTTTCACCGTTTTCACCGCTCCTTCGCCGGGACCGCCGTTCTCGACCCCGCCGCCTCAGCTCACTCTTGCCCGGCTTCAGCTCAGGCTAAGCCGGGGCTTTCGCTCACGCTAGGCCGCTGTGTTTTTCGTTGTGAAAGCGAAACTACTTTGTTTGGCCTTCCAAAAGAGGACGATATCCGCTTCGTCATGCCTAGAGCTGATCCGTGCTGGTCGCTGAGGAAATACATCAACTTAGTGCTGTGGATCGCCAGCACATTTTATGGAGGACTGTTTACTGATCCTGGAAGAGTAACGTTAGACTAAAATGCCGGCAGTTCTGACTCACGTAAGTACGTTTTCATTTAAAGGATTTGCCACTGATGATTCAAACGCGAGTTTTGGGCAGTGTAGAATAGCACTTGTTGTTTGTCATTTCTCTGATCACAAATGCAGACAGGGTTTTATGTTTACGCGGCGCAACGCAACGCGTAAAAAGACAGTATAAGTCATTATAATCAGTAATTATGTCCCCACTGGATGCAACAAATGCCTCGTTTGTAATGGGTTTTAATGTTTATGTCTCGTCGCTCCGGCCGGACACGGCATCAACACAGTATGGTGAGGGGCGTAACATTTCCGTCTCACGCTTGAGGTATTCGGTCAATCACAACGCACTGGATAGCTGGCTAATCAGAGCACACCTCGCTTTTCAGACCGATTAGTTTTGTAAAAATCGACGCGTTTCAGAAGGCGGGGCATAGAGGAGAAACAATAATGTACAGTATGTGGAAAATAATGTGTTTTTTTTACTTTAAACCGCATAAACACATTTCATTACACCAAATACACAAAATAATGTTCTTTTTAGCAGCATCATATGACCCCTTTAAGTACTAAATTTACTAAAACTGATATATTAAAAAAATATATAAATATTTTAAAAAGAACTAATAAAATTGAAGGACGCATAAATTATTAAAACTTGAAAATTAAAATGAAAGCTAATTCAAAATATGAATAATAGAAGTAATATTAAAATAACACTAATCTGTGCATTTCATCTGTTAGCTCACCGTTTGTCGACAACAGGAAATGTGCAGCATTTTTCTGAGGAAGCCAGCGGATCTTGTTGATCTTTTCCTCGATTTCCAGACTCTTCAGATAGTCGAACTCCGGCTCGTGACTCTGGAACGTGCTGTAGACGTTATACTCGGCGCGGAACTGCGGCAGGCTCTTATTCTGATAGGACACAGAGATGTCACATGACCTTTTAAACATCCTGCATTACAATGATGCTGGCAATTTGTCAAGGTTGTTAACATAAAAAAACTAACTAACAACTTTAACTTTTTTTTTCCCGCTAACTGAAACAAAGCTGAAAAAAAAAAAAAAAATCTAAATGTTAGATGACAAACTTAAATGAAATGTTGCCTTTGCAATTAAGGCAGAAATAAGCTGAAGTACTAAAATGACTAAAATTGAAATACAAATAAAGCTAAAAACAGTAATATTAAAAAGAAAAAACTAATAAAAATGATAAAAGCAAATAATAAAATTACTCACACAACACACCTCGCTTTTTCAGACCGATGAGCTTTGTAAAAATCTACGCGTTTCAGAAGGCGGGGCATAGAGGAGAAACAATAATGTACAGTATGTGGAAAATAATGTGTTTTTTTTACTTTAAACCGCATAAACACATTTCATTACACCAAATACACAAAATAATGTTCTTTTTAGCAGCATCATATGACCCCTTTAAGTACTAAATTTACTAAAACTGATATATTAAAAAAATATATAAATATTTTAAAAAGAACTAATAAAATTGAAGGACGCATAAATTATTAAAACTTGAAAATTAAAATGAAAGCTAATTCAAAATATGAATAATAGAAGTAATATTAAAATAACACTAATCTGTGCATTTCATCTGTTAGCTCACCGTTTGTCGACAACAGGAAATGTGCAGCATTTTTCTGAGGAAGCCAGCGGATCTTGTTGATCTTTTCCTCGATTTCCAGACTCTTCAGATAGTCGAACTCCGGCTCGTGACTCTGGAACGTGCTGTAGACGTTATACTCGGCGCGGAACTGCGGCAGGCTCTTATTCTGATAGGACACAGAGATGTCACATGACCTTTTAAACATCCTGCATTACAATGATGCTGGCAATTTGTCAAGGTTGTTAACATAAAAAAACTAACTAACAACTTTAACTTTTTTTTTCCCGCTAACTGAAACAAAGCTGAAAAAAAAAAAAAAAATCTAAATGTTAGATGACAAACTTAAATGAAATGTTGCCTTTGCAATTAAGGCAGAAATAAGCTGAAGTACTAAAATTGAAATACAAATAAAGCTAAAAACAGTAATATTAAAAAGAAAAAACTAATAAAAATGATAAAAGCAAATAATAAAATTACTCAAATTTTAACTATTTAAACATATAAAAATAAAACCTAATTAATAATGTTAATAAATAATAAAATAGTCTATAAATAATATATTGCATTTTGAATAACAATTTCAAGCAACAAAAGCCCATGTATTGTCTTAATGTAAACTTGGAACCAGATCCAGTGCTCATTATATCAGGACATTCTAATTATACATATTCATTGAACAGTGCACAACAGAAATTCCTTAAAGTCCCCATGAAATCAAAATTAAAGTTTTTTGGGTGTTAGTATCAATATGTTAGTCTTAAGGTTATCTATAAGGCAGTGTGCTCCAAAAGCTCAACAGCTCTAGCCCAAGCTGTGATATAAACGAACGCTATTGGCTATTTTAAAAAGGGGCGGGGCTGCTTGATATGTCCCGCCCTGTCTTCCTGTTTCAGTTAAAATGATGTCAACACAGAGTAACGCTGCGTGTTTCTAAGCATTTCAGGGGACCTTTAAGTATTGTTTGATAACAGCCAAGAAGCTGTTATTACTGTTCAGGAAAAAGGGTTTAGAGTCCTGCTGCCAAACTATAGCTTGAGGAACTGATATCTACACCTGGAACGTTTAAGTTATCTCTTAAAAGGCAACACTGGACAATTTCACAAGATTTGGGACCCTTTCTTCTGTTACCTCAATAGGAATTCTATTCCTTAATGCAATGTATTGTAACTTAAACGTTGTGTGTTTATGTCTCTGTACTGTATATTAACAGGCTGGGGAAAGGGTGTTACATTTAATGTTTTTAAAAAAAAATTTTTTATAAGTTTGTTTGTTTCGTGCATATAAGAAAATTAATCCTGGAACTTGTGATTACTTCAAGGTTATTTGATGACCGAATAAAAACGAAGAAGCCCATGTACTATATAATAATTATTTTCTGAGTTTTTGCTGACTTCCACAAATATTCCAGGACTATAAATCACAAATTTACATTTTGCCGACATGTTTCCATGTCTGTTTGCATACCCATGCAAAATGTATAAAATCATAAACTTCAGGACCAAAGAATAAAAAACAGTCCACTAAAAAATTCTCAAATTTGTCTATTCAAACCTGGTGTGTTGTAATCAATCACAAGACACGTGAGAACCAATAACATTTCGCCTTGAGGTGCCAATTTTGAATATGTGGAGTATGTATTTATGGTGTCCTTTTGCATTTCGAATAACAATTTCAAGCCTGAAAGCTCATTTACGCTCCACCCTTTAATCGTTGATCCATCTCACCTCTTGTTCTTGCTGGAAGATCACTATTCTTCCACCTCTATCTCCTGTGGCCAAAAGCTCGCCGGAATGATTGAACTCCACCGCAGAGATGATGTCAGCTGCAACACACACAATAATGAATTATTGAAAAGAGCAACTATGAGAGCATATTGTTTCTCTGAATGCTTTTGAGAAGATAAGTGACTGCTTGTGTTTGAGGGCGTGTGGGCGGGAACATGCGGCGCCTGGCATTAAAAGCATCTCGGGCATCTGCACACATAGTATCGTCCAACAACCCCCCCATCCCTGCCTTTCCTGACAATAACAATCTCTCTCTCTCTTTCTGTCTGTCGCATTATTGTGACGGGCGGCAGCGTGGTGCTGGGCTGTGCCATGCTCTGACTCAAGCCAGAAAACAAATCCTTTATGTTAGTGCTGGGCGTTATGACCAAAAAATTATATCACGGTATTTTTCGAAACTATACCGGTTTCACGGTACATGACGGTATTTTTTTTCATGCATGACCGGGTGTTAACCATATTTTCTACTGATTGAGAGAGGAAATACTGCAGTATATTGACTTAGAATGCCCTATTTTACTGTCATGATGAGTGAATA